GTGCTGTCTTCTGTGTGTGTGGGGCGTGGTATGCGGGTGGGTTTGTGGTGTGGTTGTAAGTGCAGTTGGAGGGGAGGTTTAGGAATTTGCGGTTATCTTGTTGAGGCCTGGTAGGAAACGGTTACTGTGGGTGGCGGCGGCGGCGGCGACAGCAGCAGCCTGGGGGTGGGATATGTACATGAGGCGACTGTGGTAAGCGACGAAGTTGGAGGGGAAGAGCGTGTGGGAGCTTTAGTCCGTTGTAACTGCTGCTGTAAGAAGTGTTTGAGCCGTGCTAGTCTCCTTCCTGGTAGGCTAGACCGGTGTCCTGGGTCGGGAGGATTTGTTGTGGCGGATGCATGTATAGGCCCAAATCCTTGTTTGCTGTCGTCATTGCGAGGGGATCTGGTCAGACCGTTTTGTGACTGGGAGGTTTGATCACCATTGTTGGTGCGGGTACACGGGCTGAGTCTCGGTAGCTGGTGAGAGGAGTGATGGTGATGGCTGGCAGGATGGTTGGGGTTTCCTCATCGTCGAAGACACTCGGTGTGGGTGCTGGTGACGGTGGTAAAGGTGACATTTTGTGAGATAGCACTGGGTTCGAAGGTGATGTCCGAGGGGTCTGTTTCGTGTCCGGGATGTCAGTGGATTCGTGAGTCTTGCCGGCTGTTGTTTTTTGCCTGATCAGCGGCTAGTTGGCCGGTTTGGAAGACTGTAAGCCCAGTCTATGCAGGCAGTCGTTATCCGCCTGGACGATGTGACAACTGCATTACAGTGTTGACTGCTCCGGCGTGGCGTGGGTACTGAGGACGCCAGTTTTTTCTTTTCGGGATCTCAGTCCCTGGCATCCATTCCTGCCACTTCTCATCTTCAGTATTGTTCGGAGGCAGATAAGGCGAGGTCGGTGGAGTGTTTTTGCGTGGCTTTCATACACAATGCAGCCGCCTGCCCCGTGCAAGAAGGCTGCCAGGACAACAATCCTGTACGTCCTCTCTTTCGTGTTCAGAAATTTGCCGCGACGATTCTGGACGGAGTACTGTGACCGGCTGAAGCTTTTGTTGATCTTGGAGATCCGACTGACAGCTTGGTCGTGGATCCTGATGTTTCTTGAAATTGTACTCTCAAGGTAGGCGCACCTGTTTACTGCTGTGAGGCGACTTCCAGTGACATTCATACGGACTTGGGTGTATTCATAATGTGGCGGCGGTTGGTGCAAGACCACTATTTTCTCAGTTCTAGTGGTGGAGTAATGAGTGCCATATGGGCCACATTGGGGAGGAGATACGGCAGCCAGTCTGTCAGCCAACAGTCAGCAAATCAATTCACAATAACGCGGTGTTGATTGCGCGGTTGTCGGGAAGCAGTAGTTGTGGAGATAAACGTTGGGACGTGGATGCACCGATTATTGAGAAGATGGCCGTCAATCCCGTAGGATGTGCGTATCCCAGGACGTTAAACATGGTAGGCGTTCATGAGGATGGCTGCAAACTTGAGGCTGTGGAGGTTGCGGGCTAGTGTGCAGCCCTGCTGCACTCCGTAGATCGCAACGCCTGTTTTCACTGTTCTCTTTCATGTCGGTCGGTCGTGGACGAGGTCGTCCAAGTTGGTCGGGTCGATTTGCAGAGGCTTCAGGGATGACTTCAGAGTATCCTTGTATCGACGAATTTGGCCTCATTTGCGGCGAGAACCCGTCGCGACGTCTCCGTAGAGGAGTCGTTTGGGTAGTCGCTCGCCGTCCATGCGCACCAGGTGGCCGCTCCAGCGCAGCTGTATTTGTCTGAACATGGTGTAGATGCTGAGGATTCCCGTCCCTTCCAGCACATCAGCATCGGGGATGCGGTCCTGCCAGTTCAGCCTCAGGATTCGACGGAGACAACTGAGGTGGAAGTGATTTAGACGGCGTGCCTGCTTTGTGTACACTGTCCAAGTCTCCGCTCCGTACAGCAGCGTCGGCAGGATGACAACCTTGTACATCTTCGGCTTCGTGCTCAGTTGGAGACCATGACGGTTCCAAACTATGCTGTTGAGGCGTCCGAAGGCTTGACTGGCTTTCGAGATCCTGTTGGCGACTTCGTCATCGATCTTGGTGTTGCGGGATTGAGTACTGCCCAGGTACGGGAAGTACTCCACCACTTGCAGTAGGGTCCCATTCACGCTGATTTGCGGCGGCGCGTTCGGGGGAGTGGCGGTTGATGCGTCACCACCGTCTTCTGCGTGTTAATGACCAGACCAAAGTTTTCGCAGGCGGCGGAGAACAGGTAAATACTCCGTTGCATCTCCTCTTCCGAGGTGGTGTTCAGGGCGCAGTCGTCGGCGAAGAGAAGTTCGTGAACGATGGTTGTGGATACTCGCTATTGGAAGTGCAGCCGTCGTTGATTCAGAAGGTGACCGTCCGTCCTATAGGCGATGCGGATTCCAGGGCGTTCGTCACCGTAGGCGTCCATCAGCATGGCAGAGAACATGAGACTGAAGAGGGTTGGCGCCAGCACGCAGCCCTGCTTCACTCCGTTGGTCACTGCGAATGCCTCTGAGACAGCTCCGTTGTCCGTGACTCGCGCCATCATACCGTCGTGCAGCTGACGCACCATCACAATGAATCGCTCCGGACAGTCAAATTTCTGCACGATATTCCACAGTCCTTCACGATTCACCGTGTCGAAGGCTTTCGTTAGGTCCACGAAGATAGAGTACAGGTGGGTTCGCATCTCCTGGCACTTCTCCTGTAGTTAACGGGCGGCGAAGATCATATCCGTGGTCCCACGATGACGACGGAAGCCGCATTGACTTTCCGGCAGAAGGCCCTGTTCAAGATGATTATTCAGACGATTGAGGAGGATGCGAGCGAAGATCTTCCCGGCGATGTTCAGCAAGGAGATGCCATGGTGATTGTCGCAGACTTGGAGATTCCCTTTGCGCTTGTAGAGATGCACGATGGTTGCGTCTTTGAAATCTTGAGGGACTTCACCTTGACGCCACATCTCTTTGAAGAGCGCAGTCAGGTGATCCATCAGTAGGGGACCTCCGTGCTTGTAGACCTCGGCAGGGATTGCGTCCGATCCGGGTGCTTTCCCGCTGGAGAGCTGCTGCACGGCCCTGATGGTCTCCTGAAGGGATGGCGGGAGGTCGAGGTCCACGTTGGTCTCCACTTGCGGCAAATCGGTCGATGGTGACGTCGGAGATGGCGGAGGGGCGATTGAGGACGCCTCAGAAATGCTCGGCCCATCGCTGTAGAATTTGGGACTTCCCACTCAGGAGAGTGCTACCGTCGGCGCTGAGGAGAGGAGCAGTACCCTTTGTCGGCGGGCCGTAGACAGCTGTGATCGCGGAGAAGAAGTTCTTCCATTCGTTACGGTCCGCGCACCCTTGGATCTTCTCAGCTTTGCGAGCAGTCCAGGCATCCTGCATCTCGCGCAGTCGTTGCTGAAGGAGGCGGATATTGCGGTAGGAAGCAGCTCTGTAGTCGTCGTTGAGGTGGTCTACGTAGGCTTGTGTAGGCGGTTCCTTTCGGTGAGCAGATTGCTGATGACGGCGTCGTTGTCGTCGAACCAGTCCTGGTGTTGGCGGGGAGCGAGACCGAGGACGGCTAGCGCCGTCGACTGGACCGTGCCCCGCATTTGACACCAGCGTTTCTCTACGGAGGCGTTCTGGACAGCGGCGGCGGCGACGTCGGCTGCGGCAGCGAAAGGAAGGTTGTCTAGCCGTTGATCTAGCTCATTGCTGAAACGGAGATGGTGAGGGGGCAAAGACAACAAGACAGTATTCAGCTTACCTGGGGGGGGGGGTCGGTTACCTTGTGGCCTCCTGAGAGACTATAGGCGAACACGCATATTCGAGATGACGAGGCGATGGTCGGTCCACCTGTCAGCGCCCGCGACCGCCTTCGTCACCAGCACATCCCGCTGATCTCGCCTCCGGACGAGGACATAGTCCAGCAGGTGCCATTGACGCGACCGAGGGTGCCTCCAGGTGGCCTTCTCTCGCTCCGGCAGACAGAAGAAGGTGTTCGTCAGGATGAGGCGGTGTTCTGCGCAGGTGCGGGGGAGTGGCAGACCATTGTCGTTTGAGCCGCGGAGACCATGGGGAACCAGCACCCCTCTCCAGGCAGTATGGTCTGTGCGGACGCGGGCGTTGAAGTCGCCAAGGACAATCAACTTGTCCGCCTTCGACACAGTCGCCAGGAGGGCGTGCAGGTCCTCGTAGAATTTGTCTCTGACGGCGTCGGGGTTGGTCATGGTCGGAGCGTAGGCGCTGATGATGGTGGCGAATTCGCCCCCACCCCGGAGAGGCAGACGGAGGCGCATCAGGCGATCGTTTATGCCCTGCGGCAAACAGGGCAGTCGTCTCACGATGTCGTTCCTAATGGCGAAGGCGACACCCGCGTCTGGTCGCTCTGCCCTGGGTCGATCACGCCAGAAGAAGGTGTAGCCGGCACCCACCTCTTCCAGTTGGCCTTGTTCGGAGAATCGAGTCTCGCTGAGTGCGGCGATGTCCACCTTGCAGCGCGCCAGTTCCCGGGCAATTAGCGCTGTTCTCCGTTCCGGTCAGTTGTTCCTCGGATTGTCTAAAAGGGAACGAACATTCCAGACTGCCAGAGTGAGCGGGCTCACCCTGCCAGTCTGGGGACAACGAGTGGGGCGACGGGAAGGAGGTGGAGAAGATGGCAAAGGAGAAGAATAGGCAGAGGAAGAGGAAGAATAGGTGGGATGAGGAGAATGAGTATGGTTGTTGTTTTTGTTGTTGTTGTTGTTGTTTTGATTTTGATTGTTTTGACCATGTTTAGACGTCTGCGGTCCTGGCTAGCCTGCAGACGGCGTGGTGCCCAGCAGTGTTTAGGCCACCTTTTCTCGGCCCTTGCCCTCGAGTGAGCAGGCAGTGCCACCCCTGAATAGGGCTGCCTATGTGCCTGTTTGGCTCGACCGAACCCCACTATGAGGCCATGACTTGTTGTTCGTAGTGGAGAACGGCCGAATTTGCCGTAAGTCCACGGTCTCCGTCGGCAAAGGTGGGGGCGTCTCAGCGAAGGCGATGCGGAGCTGTTCAGCGGCATACCAGGCAGAGCCTCGTCTCGACGATGCCGGAGCAGTGTTTCATCCGATTATCCACCCAGCGGATTCCGCGATGCCCTGTGCACGCGGCATAACGCGCACAAGGCCCCCTTACTTGGTTTAGCCCGCCGGTCGAGACGGTTGTCCGGGGTGTGGCCGCTGAGCAGAGCCCAGCTACGTAGAGCCACATGTGAGAGTTGAGTGCCAGCAGGTAGACGCTAGGCGTAGTCTCACCTCCAAGCAAGTGAGCGACCACTACGACCATCACGTGAACCCACCGCCGGACACCCCGTCGACCGTCGTGTTCGACGATGTCCACCGTGTGCCCCCCAGCTGCAGCAGCGGTGGAAGCAGGGACGGTGACCTGCGCAGGGGTTTATAGTGCCAGTAGACTTGCACAGCATCTGTGGCAAACGCTAAAGACAGAACCGTCAATCCCAGACTATGAAGATCAGGATAAGACCAGAGTTATGAGAGAATTAACAATCAAAAGTCAAACGACCTGACAATCCAACTCACGCCAAGCGCGTCGCGTCGAGTTATGTTCCTTCCATTCAGTTAAACAACCAGTAAGATCAAGAATGAGGAACAGGTAGGGAAAGGCAAGATAGTCTGGCGCCTCGGCACAGTACCCCCTCCGAGACCGGAGGCCGGCGAAAACGACGCCGTAGGATGTGTACAGGTCTAAAAGAAATGCGTGACCAACCGATCAGGAAAGTGTACATGACGACCACTGCGACCACTGTGATATATACAGGGTCCGTAGAAGAGGGAATAAATCTGGTGGCGGAAGTGTTGGAGTTGGTGGTGGCAGTCGGAGATGGCGGCAGAGGGAAAATACGGGACGGTGGAATAGAGGCTGCATGGGGAGAAGCAGAAGGTGGGGGATCACAGGGCTCATCCGGAGGAGTGTCAGGGACGGCAGCCTTGAGGCGGTCCACACTCACGACCTCTTCACGATTGTCGCGCTGAATGCGGAAAGTCTTTGGCCCGCGAGAGAGCACTCGAAATGGGCCGTCCTAGGGCGGTTCCAGAGGCCGGTGGACTCGATCACATCGAAGGTAGACGTGAGAACACGTTGCCAAGTCCTTCTCGAGATAAGACGGAGAGGCGGAGGACCTGGGAGGAACCGGAGAAAGTGTCCGCATAAACTGCCGGAGGCGATGCAGGAGGTTAGTAGGATCCTCAACTGCACCTTGCGGGGTTGGCGAGATCATCTCACCGGGGAGTCGGACGGTGGAGCCGAACACCAGTT